GGGAGGAGGGAGAAGAGCAAGCCAAGTATGGTCAAAGCACTAGAGAAAAATTTATGTTAGTGCTGCTTTCACACAATCCAGTCTCCCTTGCTAGTAAAATAAAGATAGCCATAGCTGAACTATTTGACTTATAGAATCAGTTTTCCTAAAGAAAATCCTAGTCCCTGTCAAAATGTTTTCTTCTTACTGCCTATAACTTTTAGCAGTACAGAACACCAGCAAGTCTTGCAAATTGTATTACCAAACAGAATTAAGGTCAATGTTGTCACAGGGATTAGGATACCAATTCCTTACGACCATGTCAACTGTCCAGCAGCCGTGAAAAGCTCAGCCTAGCACGCTTTTGTGAAGCACGCCAACTCCAACCCTACGTGTTTCTGCATTTGATTTCTGTCTGGGGCTAAACAAGTTCAATCTGCCCAGAAGCCCCTGGGTTATGTACTTACTGCTTCAACATAACATTAGGAAAATGAAGAGAAAGCACAGGAGAAGTCCACTAAACCACCTGTGAAGTAGCACTTACCCTACTACCACACTACTTTGAAAAATAATTACTAGGGGAGAGAGAGGGGAAATCCAGTATGTAAAGCTGAATTGCATGTTATTATCTTCTGAGGTCAAGGCACTAGGTAATGAGTCTTTTCCTGAAGAGAAATCCTGACTGTCATAACTAGAATGCACCCAAAGTCTTGCTTGTTTTTAATAGGACTGTCCTCACTCAATCTTTACTACAAGTCTTGCAGAAAAGGCAATACTTATGAGAGCAAGCAATCAGTGAGGTTTCCTTTTCCTTGCGAAACTTGCCTCAAACCCCTAGTGCCCCACAGCTGCACCACCGCTGAACTGTTCATCTGCAACACTCAGCCATTAAAAACAATCCTGCACCTCCCTCTTCTTGTGACAGCTTCCACTAATTCAACACATCTCTCCGGGGAGTACTATTCCCTCTCCAGAACAGCAAACTGGGCTGCTTCAGCATATTCTGGTTTACAGCTCTACCCCCACCCCCCGTCGTCCATGTTCAACAAGCACTTAAATAGATTTTCAGCCCATTCTCCTCCCCACAAAAGGGCAGGAGGAGAGCTGACCTGTGAAGACTGCAGGGCCGAAGGTCCTCCTGAACAGGAAATTCTTCAAGGGGACAAGAACAGAGAAGCAGTTTGATGAGCACCATTAGCAATGCTTCCACACAGCCCTTCCTAACAGAGAGCACACTGCGCGGTGCGGGGCTCCGTTGAGATCACCAGTTTAACAAAACGGAGTATTTCCAGCAACGTTTAAGACAAGGAATAACTACCGACATACCCATGTCAGTTGTTTCTGCCAACCAAAAACCCTTTAGCTTTCATAATCTAAATCAAAACATCTCTATTTTGCTGTTTAAGCACAAACGTTATTTTAAACATACAAAACCTCACATGAGCAGAAACCTGAAGCTGGTCTCTAATCATCCACGCTCTAAATTAAAGTCATGAAAACATTAAGATATGAACAACAGTTTACTCACTGTGCCCAATTACCAGCACAGAAAAATGGTGTTCTAAGAAACTGGGGTGCTCAGAGTCACAGCTCAGGTCCAGGCATCCGGTTAATCACTGTAAACACATCTCGCAAACACCTAGACAACTAGCAGTTTGTGATTAGCTGCATGGAAAGTAAACATGATTATACTGAAGCAGGCCAGGAAAACACAGCCAGCCACTTTCACTGACCTAAATTAGTGGCTAAGGCATTTCTATACAGGTATGGTCATATTATCCAATGGAACTGTGTTCCTATGGTTTCACTTTCAGGTCTGAATCCTAATAATTAAACTTTAGATGTCAAATACTGGAAACACAGAAGTCATTCCTATCAAAAGAAACCTATGAATATGCTATAATAGCAATAACATGACTTGCCGTAACACTGGAGAAACTAAGCTCCCTTACCCCACTCTCTCTACCACCCTGTCTCTGTCTCCCAAAGCAACTATGTGCACCAACACGGACAGGAACTGTAGAGGAACAGTTTTACAATAATAAATATGTGTTAGTGACTTATCAGCAAAAGTATTTTGGTCAAGGATTATGCTGCAAATAAATGCTAGCAGAGACCTCTGATGACTTAATCTGAAGCACTGCGATTAATACAGCTAGTTCTTGGTTAGAGACCTACTTCTACTGGTCAAAAGTTTCTGATGTGCATTTTCTGTTTCATTAGTTTAAGCCTGAAAGTCTAGCAAAACATGGTTAGAAGATTAGGGACATTTTATGCATTATGTTAAATAGTTGGCTGGCAGGGAAAACCTAGCTCTCCCTACCAAATTCTAGGCACACTCCATAGCTGACCTTATTTGCTGGCTATTAGTGGCAACGCAAGTTCAATATTGTAATAATCTCCTACTCTTAAGGCAAGTGTTATTTGATGCTCTAATGACTAGACAACCTTGTCTGTTGCAATTGCAACTTTCACTTATACAGAGGCTTACACGCAGATCCCTGAAGGGCCTCTGTCTCTCTGCATCAGGTCCCACCTAGAGGCTCTGCAGGCAAAGAGGGACCAGCACCAAGCAGCATTAGTGCCAGACTGCTCCACTCACCCCACTTCGAGCGGTACTCACTAGGCACTGTCATCGTGACAAATCACTGTTTCACAAGACTATCTAAAGCCAGGGTGATTTTATAAAGTCACCAATACAAACAGCAGCGAGTCTCATACTTCATGCAAGCACATCTCCAAAAGAAGTCTGTATACTGCCCTCCTCCTAAAGGAAGCAATGTCTACAAACAGTTTAATGAGTCCGCTATAAATTCAGAAGCAGTTTTCCCCTGTTTTCCCCTTCCTCTGGAGGTCTCTTCCTCTGAGTCAACACAATCAGGCAGGAACAGTTTGCTTAGTAAAATACTTGCCAGGCACAGAACTGCTAATGCCTGTTCTAGAGTTGTCACTTATCCCTGGCAATGCCATTGGGAAGGCAAACCGTCCATGGAAAGTTCACTGGCTGATTGCAGTCGCTTGCTGAAATAAACACGGAGTAGCTCCATGCAGGTGAAGGGCACTAGAAACACAGATTTAGTTAACACTGAAGAAGTTACTTCCTAATAATGGATCCTGTCCAACAGCTTTCATCTATTCTTATTCCAATCTATGGCTTCACTCTTCCAAATTAAAAGAAAACAGACTATCAAAATCAAAAAGAAAGCAAGCACAGAAAAATACAGAGATTTGATACAAACTATAACCCTCCATATATCAGCATGGAAAGAAAACAAGACCATAACCAGATGTATATCATACATGAAAATACTTTTCATTTCATCTTCCAAAAATAGTAAAATTTGCAAGATCTCCAGAGATATAAATCAGTACCAGCATGGTATGTGAACAAATATATAGAGCACCTGAAGTGTGACAACTACCAACATTGACTTACTTTATTAGAGGACTTTTGTCTCAAGAACTTTTCAAAAGTTCTTGAGACAATTTCAAAAGATGTTGTGCTTTCAGAGTGGGAAGCCCTTATCCACAAACCACTTGAGACTGCTAGGAATAAACTCCTTAAAATAATCTTAAAGTTGGCTCTATTTTTCCACATTCGCTTGTTATTAGGGGTCCTCTGATGTGAGTTGCTGGAGGCTGTTGTTCTGATCAAGAGGCCATACATTTTCTTTCATAAAAACATGTAAAAACAGAGCGCCAAATATCCATTGAGAAGTGTAACAACTCTTGGTGGCCCCAATTTGCTGCTCTCCCATTGCTTGCCCCATCATCGCTCAGCAGCGATGGCATAGTTTCTTCCAGGGTGAAAGAGCCCGCAGCCATCCAGCACCCCGCAGTTTATTATTAAGCAGCCCTAAAGACAAAGGCACAACTGACAAAACAAAGACTTACAGTGATTTATTTAAAGACAGGAAAAAGATTTACATTTAAATGGTTGGTTAACCTGGTTGGAAAAACAGTGTTTTCTTAGTTTGTGCAAACTAGGTGGAATAGCTGTTAACCTACTTCCAGTACATCTACACCAGGTCTCCAGCAGAACACACGGAAGGTTTTCAGACCTCCCTCTTCGTTACACACACTTATCATCAGTAAAACTGACACCTAAATGTGACCCAGTATTGGATAGGATGAGCTGTGTTCCCCACATACTATGTCAGAAGTGCAATTTTACAAGTTCAACAGCACGTGTTCATTTCAACACATTTATATAATGGCAGATTCACAGTTTTCATATTTGTCCAGCACAGCCTTAAAGCCAAAACTCAAAGCATGTGCCCACCATGAACTGACTCCCTATTCTACTACAGACATGACCTACACTGGTTTGGAGAGGAAAAAAAAAATGGCCAAGGTTAAAGCATTTTTCAAAGCACGTGCCCACCATGAACATAGTAGTATTCTACTACAGACACGACCTACACTGGTTTGGAGAGAAAAAAAAAAATGGCCAAGGTTAAAGCATTTCCCTGACCTGTGTTTGAACTCAAACATACTATTGTTTCATTGTCACTTCAGATTATTTGTCAGCTGTCAAAAGACCAACATTTGCATAAATTAGAAAGACATGTCCTTAACACACTTTAGCTTTCTCCTTTCCATCACACTTTTAAATTCTTACCTCATTCAAAGCCAGTGCACTAACATCTTTTCCCTTTCCATCACACTTTTAAATTCCTACGTCATTCAAAGCCAGTGCACTAACATCTTTTGACATGAATCTTCTTTTTTTTTTGGAAGAAAGTATTTCCACACAACCTTCAGTGCCCCCAGCTGCCACAGTACACTTCCTATGTGTGTTAGTTTGCTTTTGTGTCCCAGTAAATCAGACAAATATGCCAACAGGGGTCAATCTCCAAGTTATTTCTATTCTGAAAGTTTAAGGTTCTAGATAAGAAAGCTTTCCCCTCCCCCTTTAAGTACTAGAAAATATTCTGATTGTGTTAGAAGTTGACATACAGCTGGGTAAGGAAGCTCCTGAGTTTTAGATACATTACAAAGAGTTGTTAATGAACATTCAACTATTTCTTACCTTGTAGCATACATCTATATGCAGATTCAGATATTGCATAAATGTGCGGTGGCATTTCATGGCGCTTCTTTCCTCTATACATCTCGATAATGTTTTCTGAATAAATCGGGAGGTTCTTGTAAGGATTTATAACTACGCAGAACAGTCCTGAATAGGTCTTAAAAAAAAACCAGAGAAACATTGTTAGCAAACAGTATTGAAACAGAGCCATAAAGAGCAGAAAACTTTTTTCACAGGTTCTATAATATTTATCTTAGAAGAAAATTGTGGTCCTTTTCGTTGAGCATCTCCAAGTATGTGCTATATTCAAATTATTGGTTTCTAGTTCTCTTAAGAGGCTTTTTAATTACCTACATAAAAAGTAATTTGAAGACAATAAATGTGAGTAGGGAGTGGAGCATCTGGTCTCTTTCCCACAGTTATTTCAATTTCCCTTCTTTTTGCCAAGTTACAGGATTTATGGACATCTTTTGATGTTCATCCTTCAGTAAAATGTACATTCAAAGTTATTTCTTCATTTTTGAAGGAACTGATAGTCTTGATTACTCTAGTAAGTCATTTGGATAAGGAAAATCCCTATTTCCAACCACTACTATTTCTGCTCTCCTACTGTTTTCTCCTATCTCTAGGTCTTTCCTGCTCACCAGCCTTCCTCAAGCCCAAAGCAGTCTCCTCCTGGAGAGGTCACTCCCTGCGCTGTCCCAGCCCAGCTGATGGATAGCCTGGCAGCTGGCACTGCTGACGTTCCATCGGCTGCTTTTAGAGTTGATACTCAACAGAAAGGATCAGGACTATCATAATATCAAGAAACCCAAGCACAAATTTTACATTGCTTATTTCATTGATTTTTATTGAGGCACTTCTGTTTAGCAAAAAAATGCCTCAAGTTCTACAAAACTGAGCACACACTGCAAACGATACGTACAGGTCCACACTTCCCTGTGAATGAAGTATCAAAGGCTACTACAGAACAGTTCCATCTCTGCTCCATGGAAGTTATCATACAAATACATACAAAAGAAAAACGTATAGAGCCAGCCACCCATGCTTTGTTATCTGGAAGGGACAGACCAGCATGGTCTGGCTGTGCTGGCCCTACTGGGGACCAAAGGTTACGCTCCCAGAGAGCTGTGCACTATGCACAAACCAGAGCTAATCCTTGGGGCTTCCCTGAATCACGGCACCCGGATGGCTCTTGCCTTTGCAGAATCAACCTAAATTGATGGCTTCTAAGAAAACAAAAGGTCTCCATTCACCTTTATTTCATCACATGCTTTAAAAATGTGTTCTTTCTGGTCATTAATTCTATTCACATCTTTACTAGTATAGGTTAGCAAGAAAGAACAGTTTTGACAGAAATAGGGAGTATCTTTCTGAACGTCAGGAGAACTGTTTAACTTTGCAGGCTGAGAGAAGAAACGGAGGGAGTAAGCAGACAGCATTAACAGCTGTTGAGAACCTAGAGTACTGAGCAGGTAACTCATGATTCTTATAACACTGGTTGATTTAAAAAAATATTTCTGCTACATTTGTATGAACAGAGTAACTGAAATTCTTGTTCCGACATTCTTTTTTTAATATATAGAAGATTTTATCTGCAGGAAAAGGTGCCCTGTTCTTTCAACACCTACAAGGGACTACGGAAAGACAGACAGAAAGTGATCTCTGAATTGAGTCAGGAGTTTCATTGATAAAGAAAAAGAACTTGGTTTTATGCCAGATGTCCTGACGTAAGGACATTTTATGTCCTTATAGGAAAATAATCTCTGTTTTGGTCAGATCTGCTGGATGATAAGTGCTGCAGTGCCTTACCCAGCCATACATCTTTGGTAATAAGGTATTTATTTCTCCAGAGAAAGGAAACAGACATTATCAGGTCAACTGACCCAAGCATGAAGAACAACTTATCAGTCCTTAACTCAACATAAGCACGAGTGTGTTTGCAAGCAGGCAGTTCCTCCCCAGCCCCCTTTCTAGCCATGTGTCCCTCTTGCCAGCATCAGCACCCTTGCAGCAACTTACCAAGCTGGATACTACTGAAGATAGACTTCCAAAAGAATTGCTTGGTAATAGAATCAGTTCCCTAACCAAATTCATTCATGGTCACTAGTGATATTGTAAGGGAGAGAGAAGGCAGGACAGTTATTTTAATAGCATGGCACAACTGACCAAGGAGCCAATTAACCGATAAATACTGGATCTACGTTCCCAGCCAGCCACCGCCCCTGTTGTGCTCAACTGAGGTCACTCACATTCATCTATAATTACTACGGGTGACATGAAGTCATTGAGAATTAGCACAAGCCTGATTTCCATTCTAGCCTTCAAATAAGGATAAGCAGGAGAAAGGCACACATCCACCAAGCCCATTGTGTGATTACCAGCTTAAAATAACCGAACTGCACCTATGCCATCCATCTCTACTACAGCTACATCTAATGAAAGAGAGACTTGCTTATTGCTGACGGTGGATGAGATCTGGTCACAAGCAAAAGAATTCACACAGCCAAAGTCCATTTCCAGGTCTGTCCCAACACACCCCCTGACCAGTGTCATGGCATGAACATTTGCTTAAGCTAGCAGATCTTTCTCCAGGATGATTCTGGACTCTCATCCAGCAGCACTTCTGAGCCCTAGTCTGGTTTTCACCCACCCAGCTTCAGAGACTTGCAGTTTACCTTCAGGGGCTGCTGTTCTACATCTTCCTGTGGATGGGAACTCTCAAACAGTGACTGACTGTTGAGCTGTAAGGGTGTTGCTGTACACACCAGCTACATATATCATCTAGTTGAAAGTAGATCATCTTTAAGGTCCTTTTCAACCCAGGCCATTCTATGATTCTATGATATTACAGTCACCCTCTTTCAAGAGCAACACCTCTATTTCTCTGCAAATTCACCTAAAAATGTATCAGTTGTTTTGGTCCTTTTATGTTCACAAAGGAAAGTTCTTGGGTTTTCCCCAGACATGAATAAACAGGTTGTTGGTTTGTTTTTTTAAAAACAAACAAACAACAACCTGAAGTGCTAGGATAAGAACAGCTATTTGAAGATTATTCTTCCCTCCTCCCTCAATTGCTTTGACATCTTTCATTTATTTCCCCAACACAGACATGGAGTAAGTGTTGTTACTATTTAGCTACATAAGAATTAATAATTTATAAAAACAAACTTAACAATCCTTCAGACTACTGATGACACCTAACCTGGAAGCCTTCCTAGACTATTGCTAAATGCATAATTGGATGGATCAGTGGACCCGGAATGATCAGAACAAGCAAAGTCCAGCTAGATGCAAACATAACTCAGCCAATCTAGAGGAAGACGAGCAAATGTCCTGCGCAAATGAAACAGTAATTTAAGAGACTATATTAGAGAGGCTCTAAACGGGTGAAATTAAAAGTTATTAAGCACAAAATTCTACAATTTCACCAGTGCTGAGGTTCATTTATTTAAAACTAAATCTAAAGGATAGGCTTTTATCCCTGACCATTAAGTCTGTGTCATGACATTGCTCTTTACATGCAGGACCTTGAACTCCAGCATCTCAATTTCCTGTACATTTGTCACTTAGTTCACTCTCCTGCTGTCTCCCTGCAGAATTTAAAAATCATCCTTTCTTTAAAACTTCACTACACTGTACAGCCCTAATTTATTCGAAGGAAGATGGAAGCAAGTTCTCCCACAAGGCTCCCAAACCTCCTGACCATCATGTATTGCAGAAAGCCACAAATGAACGTATTGGTGGGCTGGTTTTGTGGCTTGGTAGGCATATAAACACAGAAGGGATGCTTTTATTGAGTCAAATTTAATTGAGAGGGATGTAAATGGTACAAAAATTTTATACAGCTATTTTATAACTGCAAGTCTCCCAGTACATTACTATAAGACAGCGGATTGGAGGTATGGCCTTTCTGCATGCACACTGAAGACATGAAAAGTAGGCTGACATTGTTTTACACACCTTGAAAAGCTCCTTGGTGACCAGCCAGAAAAATAATTTCCAGGAATACTTGCACACCTTACAAATAGACACTCTACTTGATGAATACCACCATGTAACTGTTAAAGATGCCCAGAGCTTTCAGACATGCCAAGGGCAGAGTGATGCCCTGTGCCTCCTCTCTATTCCGCAGTACATGGACTCTGCTGAAACCAGAGCTGAGGTACAGTTCGGACCAAGCACCGAAGAACTACAGTAGAGAGCCACTCTGGATGAAGAGCCAGATTTCATTCATTTGATCAGCTGACAGAGGGAGATACATACATTAAGAACTAAAAGGCAAGTAAAGATGCTTATTCACCTTGAAATCATGCCATCGCTGCAAACGAGCCAGTTGCTTGAAACACATATTTCTGCTTTACCGAGGAACAGGATACAGACAATATCAACAACAGCAATAAGGCATGTTGGAATGCACACTTTTTAGGCAAGGCTCCAGAGACAAATAGTAAAGCAGTGCTCTGACAGAGGTTTGTTATACAAGCTCTCCTTCAGGACACTAATTGTGGAGTTTGAATGTTTCCAGATGCTTACAAGCCTTTATCCAGTAGTATATCATTTAGTAATTTGGATTTTGGTAAGCTCTCCCAGACTGCAGAGTTCAGTTCCTGGCACTGGCCTGTTTGAAAACTACATCATATTCCCAGCAGTAAGCAACCTGAGAAAGAGGTATATGCAAGGGAACTACTGGCAAAGAGAGAGTGCATTATTTCCAGGTGAAAGCACATGGGAATTTAGGCTCTAAATTTGGAGTGTGGGCTCCAGAGCAAGCAAAGTTTTCATGGCCTCTCCTCCCTTAAAACCATATCAAGCCCTCGGTGTATATACACAGATGGTGGTATTAGTGTCAAAAGCCCTGTACAATTCCTTAGATTAATAGCTCAGCTTTGCCGTTCTTACATCAAGGAATATGCTATTATAAATGTTAGGTTGGTTCCTCCTGCTACAAAAATCAAAAGGCCTCTTTAAAGCATCACTTCAGAGAACATTAGCAAGATGCAGGTAATTTTTTGTAATTTGTAACAATCAGTTTGCATCACCTGAGCACCCAGGCTCAACATTCATCTCTAGTTCTTCACATACAGAAAGTGACAGATCTACTCTGTTAATACATGAATAATTAAGCTGAAGGAAGCATCTAGACATCTCCTATTA